ATCCGAAAAGACAGTTACTGGCGATTTGCCGAAATAAACTCGAAATTTGTGTACAGCCATTAATACGGCTAATGTTTCTCTTTCTGTAGCTGTATAATTCCTTTGTGTCTGATTCAATGTTTTACTAAAAAATGCCAGCGGATGGTTATTTTGCATAAGAACCGCACCCACCGCATAGTCTGACGCATCTGCTGCAATTTCCAGGTTTTCGTCCCCCTCAGGGAATTTTAAAACAGAGGCATTAATAAGCGCTTCTTTTAATCTTTCAAAAGCTGTGTTAGCTTCCGCTGTCCACGTAAATTTAGCCTTTTTTCTTTTGATTACTAAGAGTGGTTCAACAATATTAGCGAAATCTTTTATGAAAGATCGATAGTAAGAACATAATCCAAGGAAAGAAGAAAGTTTCTTGGCGGTGTTGGGCGGTGGGAAATTCTTAATAGCTTTTATTTTTGAATCTTGCGTTTCTATACCCTTTTGTGAAATTTTATAACCGAGATATTTAAGTTCTTTAGTTGCGAACTTGCATTTTGAGGCGTTAATTGTAAGACCGGCCTCTTTTAATAATTTAAAAACTTCTTCTAGATCATTAATATGTTGTTCCAACGTACTACTCGTTATAATTATATCATCTAGATAAATTAAAGTTGATTTTCCTAGGACAGGCTTTAGAACAATGTCCATAGCTCTCTGGAATGTTGATGGGGCCCCACACAACCCAAAGGGCATGCGTAAAATGCATAAGTGCCCGATTTTGTTATAAACGCGGTTTTATGTATATCTTCGGGTCTCATAGCTATTTGATAGTAGCCGGACGTTAAGTCCAAAGTAGACATATATCTTGTCGATTTGATCTGTCTAATGATCTCGTCTATAACCGGCAAAGGGTAAATTGGAAATTTGGTAATACTATTTAGTTTTCTGTAATCAATAGCAAACCTCCAAGCCCTTTTATCCGAAGGAGGAAACTCGTTCTTTTTCCTACATAGTACGACTGGACTCGCGTACTCACTATTTATGGGCGTTATTATTTTTATTCTTTAACATCTCCTGAATATGTTCTTCGATGATTAGGTCTTTTTGTTTGTCATAACGGTATGGCTTAGTCCTACAAGGTTTTTCGGCATTTAATTGAATCTTGTGCGTCACGATTTGGCAGTTTCCTGGTTTTTCTGAAAACAAATGAGAAAAATTACTCACCACTTGCTGTATTGCTTTACTTTCATGGTCATTCAGATGGCTAAGGTCCACTTCAGGTGTCTCCACAGGTTCCACCACCCTCTGGTCCATCTCCAACACCACGGAACTATCTTGAAAATTTAATTTGGCCCTCGCGGCCCTTAAAAAGTCCATACCTAAAATAAGAGAGTGTTGCACGTCTTTCACCACAAAAATTAATACTTTGAGATTTTCCTCTTTTACCTGTAAGTTTAATGATAACTTCCCGATGCAGTGACATGTTTTTCCTTGCGCCGCTATAATTTCCGTATTTCTGGTTTTAAATAATCGTATCCTATAAAAATTCTTTTTGAAGAAATTTTCACTCATAAAATTTCCTTCTGCTCCTGTATCGATGAGGGCTTCTACTGGTACATCGCCAACCAGGACTTGTATAATTGGTAGCTGTGAGTTTTTTACGATGACCGTGTTTAAATGTCTATTTGAGGGTTTTTTTAAAACTTCCGGGGTCTGGACCCTCCCTTTCACAGGCCCCTCTACTCGTTTAAAGCTTTCCTTTCAATCTGTGTCTTCTGGGTACGCGGATGTTTATTTTCAAATTTTCTTTTTGGGCCTTGACCTTCGAGTTTCGATGCGTTAGCTTGATAGTTCTTTCCCCCATAAGAGCGATTTCCATTTCTGGTTTCCTCCTTCCTTCGGGTACTTTGAGAATATGTTTCCCCTCTCGCTTTTTCCGCTATTCTGCGATTTTGAAACTTCACCGCCAATTCGAAAAGTTCCTGCAAAGTGCTTGGGTTTCTAATTTCAAAGTAGTCTTGGACAGCGGGTAACAATCTTGGTAATATTATTTCAATAATCTCCGCATCGGGTTTCTTTCCATACAGCATATCCGTTAGCTTGATTTTTCGTAGAATAAAGTCCGTCAATTCTGCTGTATCCCGTTGGTAGAAACTATATAGTTCGGCTTCCAGCCGTGAGCGATCTTTCACTATGGGGAAGGCCTTTACTAACGATTTTTTGAAATTTTCAAATGTATACGTCGGGCTTCCAAATTCACCTAGTAAAAATTTGCCTATGTTTTTCCACCATAGCGCGGCCTGTCCTCTTAGTGCTGCTGTGCCGATGGCAACTTTTTGTCTTTCAGGCACAGGGTAGAGCTGAAAGTGGTTTTCTAGACCTTCTAGAAATACCGCCACTGAATTTTTTCCGTCGAAATAGACGTTTGGCTTGATTGACGCTCTCAACGTCTGGACCAGGTATCCAAATCCTTCTAACTGGGTTGTCATTTCTTGGTGTTGTCCAGCGGCTTCCATCCAATTTTCGGCCATTTCAGTTCGATAATTGTTCGGGCGCCAATATAACGTTGCGCGCCTCCAACTTGCACGCAACCAAGAGGTGACTGTGAAAGCTGTATAAAACACAGAGTCTTGTAAAGGGTTTGAATCCCTTTTTTATTCAACGTAATAAATTACAATTGCGTCCTCTTGACGCTTACAGACGGTGCCAACTCGGCAGTCAAATAAAAATAATAACCTGAAAAGAAACTAAAGACAAGATTCTAACTACGAGGCTCTCTAAAATAACTAACTCACCGCGTTTTACAATACCGCTGCTAATTCAGCAGACTTGAAGCTCACTGGAACGATTAACACTACTTCCCGCCAAGCACATAGGCCGAAACGCGGGGTCCTTCCAATTCTCGCTAACTACCTCCGCGCTCGCTATGTAAGAATATCACACACCGAACTTGTTTCCTTCTATTTAAATCATAATACTTCCGCTGATAATTTGAATGCTTGCGCGTTCTACTCAAATTTACATATTCTGGCATTGGCAGTTCCAGGGGAAAGTAAGGCTTGACAGGAAAGATAGTTTAAACTTAAAATAAATGTTAGTTAAAATAAATATAAACCCTACATGTGGATGTTTAACATTTGATGAGGTATAAAATTAGCTCATTTCAAATTTTTCTTAAACCTTGACAAATTATAAATGTAAATTACTTAATACTGCTTTTGAAAATTTATATTTTTCAATCTAAGTTGCAGTGCTTTTGTTTACATTTCTTTTTCTCTTTAATACTTTTTATGGTTTGGATTTTTTTCATTCGGTTTATTTATGTCACCGTAAAGTATTTTCCCCTTTCCTGAATTGAAAGCACGTTCGGCCAGTAGTCGAGAGATCCAAAGTTCGAAACATGCGAGACAACTGTTGATTTTTCTTGGTTTCTGCTCCGATAAATATCAAATCGCTCTGCACAATGGTTTAGATTTGTTTGCTGTTTGGATATTTTTGTTAACTTTACGTCACTGCATGTATTATACCAAGGTCAGTAAACAAACAAGGTTAGGTTTTTTCCAACGCTGACGTCACTTATTTACAGATGTGGTAGAAATGAAAACACAAAAAGAATAGGTAATAAGTGCTTTTGAGTAGACTAAGAATCACTGTCATCATACAAGAGTAAACTTAGTAGTGCAGTAACTTCGTAAGGTATTTCCTCCCTCCTTACCGCATGCCTTCATGGTACCCCTCAGGGGCTCACTCTTGTGAGTTGTGAGTACGGGTGTGGCAATCCCGAGGTACCCTAGCCCTTCAGGGGATCATCTTCTTGGTGTCACGATCCTGGAGGCCCAGTGATCTATCCTTTTTTCTGTCCCCTCTCCTCTGACCTGATACCTTCTTTCCTTCCATTCTCCCTTGTGGTTTTCCTCTTCGGAGGGTGGGGCTCGTCACGAGAAACTGGAACAGCCCTTGTCTCTAAATTTCGAGTGGCGAGAAAACTGTCCACGTGTTTGCCGTGCGTAGTGACCCGTGTCGCTGGAAAGGAGGGTCCTGGTAGGTGAGGGGCGAGGTACTGTCCCCAACATACTGCTTTGGCCTTTGCTTCGGATAAACGGGAGGCACCTTAGTCGTCCTCACGGGTGTTAATCGGCTGGTCACTAGTCCTTGTGTCAATGGCTGCTTGGGGGTAAGCTCTCGGGAGTACCTGCTTTCGGGAAAGCCGACTGTGGGACTTCAGTTTGCGTATAGACCCAGTTAACCCTGGCGCAGGATTCTGCGTCCCCTCGTTGGACTCCGTGGTGGGTGGGGTTGCCGGGTCCAATTTTTTTCCCTTTGATATAGATAAATCAGACAATACCCCTCTAAAAAAAGCAAGAACCAATGCAAACCTTAATATGATACAAGTTTCGAGTATCCTTATAAAAGACAAATTATCTACCCTCCTCTATAGTAAGGAAGGAATACGTCAGTAATGATCGAGCCTCTGGACGTCTAGCTATTTTATTCTCACTTAATTACCCATCTAACATAATCCTACTGACAACACCTCTCCAAGCTACTGCAATACAAATAAATATACGAACACTAATAACGATATGTTCTCTTTACTTGCCACCCAATGAACACATAGATCATTGTAGTAATGAGCAACTCTTCTGGTGAGTTGAAAAAAAAAAGTCTTCCATTTCTAATACATAAATATATAACAGCTAGTGTTGGTGAGCCAAAAAATATGAAACGTTTACGATCTGGAGATATACGTATCGAAACCATATCATCTATACAATTTGGCCTCTCTTCTTGTGCTTACTAAAATAGGACAAATAGATATATCTGTGTCTGCCCACAAGACTTTGAATAATTGTGGCGGCGTTATCTCCGAATTCGATCTTTCATCTGTTTCAGAAGAGGAATTCGTGCAGGAACTTGCGTCACAAAATGTGTGTGGAGCTAGGCGGATCAAGATGCGTAAGGAGGGTCAGTTGATTAACACCAGACACGTTATCCTGACCTTCAACACGTCTATGATGTAATATAGTATGTATACGCTAAATTTGCCTACTAGCATTAAAGCTGGTTATTTAAATTGTCTTGTGAGACCTTATGTCCCTAACCCCATGCGATGCTTTCAATACCAGCGGTTTGTTCACACTAAAATGTCCTGTCGTAGTAAACCTACGTGTGCCCGATGCTCTGGGGAAAGCCATGACAGCGATAATTGTACAGCTGAGCCATTGTGCATTAACTGCAAGGGGGCACACCCAACATTCTCACGCATTTGCCCTAAGTGGAAAGACAAAAAAGAAGTTCAGACTGTCAAAGTTATGAAAAACATTTCATATGCAAAAGCCAGAAGAATAGTACAGAGTTCTCAGCTGCGATCAAATACTTCTTACGCTAGCATAACTAAATCAACAAGAACAATAGCTTGTCAAACAATATACAGTCTCCCAAAAAGTTCACAAGCAAAACAACAGGAACCTAGACAAGAAATTTCTGATAAAAGCGAACCTGCCCTGTCTCCACACCAAATAACATCTAAAAATAAAGAAACAAAATCCCAAAATAAAAAATCGGAAAAATTAAGGAGCCCTAGCAATAGCTTTCTGCAAAGTCTGAGCTTCGACTCACAAGACTCAGACGGGATGGAAGTGGAAGAGGGACTCAGTGTCCCAAAGCATCTGCTTCCCCGCAAGTCTAAGAAAGAGCACCGGAAAAATAAGCATTCTTGATGGTCACTTTCATTTCCTGGAACTGTCGTGGCTTCTACAACGGTCTTGATAACATAAAAGAGCTGATCAATATCCACCATCCAGCATGCCTGACAATACAGGAAACGCTCCTAAAACCTGAAAGTTCTGTAAAAGTCCGAGGATACTCTATAGTAAGGAAGGAATACGTCAGTAATGATCGAGCCTCTAGAGGTGTAGATATTTTATTCTCACTTAATTATCCATCTAACATAATCCCACTGACAACACCCTTCCAAGCTACTGCAATACAAATAAATATACGAACACTAATGACGATATATTCTCTTTACTTGCCACGAAATGAACACGTAGATCAGCAACAGATAGATGACCTCATAGAGCAGCTGCCTGCCCCTTTTCTAATTTTGGGAGATTTTAACGGTCATAGTCCTATGTGGGGAAGTAGTGACACCAACTCACGGGGACGACAGATAGAGCAAATGATAGATGATCATTCTCTTTGCCTCGTGAATAATGATGAGAAAACCTACTTCCACCAGCCAAAGAGAACATTCCATACGCTTGATCTTGCCATTTGTTCACCAGCCCTCTTGCCTCTTCTTACAATTAGTGTGGGAGATCATCCCTTTAATAGCGATCATTTCCCCATCTTCTTGTCTTTACCAAGAGAAACTAACTCTCCTATTGAACGACCAGAAAAATGTATATTTGATCGTGCAAACTGGGATACCACAGTAACGCAAGATTTGGTGAACAATGTGCTAATAGATGAAGCAATGCAGGCTGTTACTAACAGAATTCTTCAAGCAGCTGAAATCTCTATCCCAAAGTCATCAAATAAGCTGCCAAAATATTCAAAACCGTGGTGGAATAATGAATGCCGAGAAACACTAAAAGAACAGAGAAAGGCTTGGGGAATTTTCCGTAGATATCCCACCTTGTCAAACCTAATAGCCTTTAGGAAAGCCAAAGCAAATGCAAGAAATACTTCCAGCCAGAGAGCCAGAGAGCTTGGTTGATAGCCATGTGTCTGGAATAACATCTTCTACACCAAGAATGGTAAAGGGTTAAGAAAGCACGTGGATTATATAAAGACCGCACACTTTCCATCCTGGAAAAAGATGGGCGAGTGATTAGCAACACAGAAGAAATTGCGAATACTATTGGTGAGATTTTTGCTGCCACTTCCAGAATTCCAAAAATGATTCACAAAAATTTCTTTCTGTCAAGCGTCGCTCAGAAAAAACTCCCATTACGTTCACCTCTTCCAACTTGGAACCATATAATGCTGATTTTACTATGATCGAGCTAAAGTGAGCATTGTCAGACACACACAGACCTAGCCCGGACCCGGATGGTGTTAGTTAAGAAATGTTGAAACGTCTTTCTTGCAAGTCGTTGTCGAACCTTCTCGCTCTACACAATCGAGTATGGAAAGAGCATGCATTCCCAAACTCATGGAAGAAAGCTGTCATCATTCCTATAGCTAAGCCAGGAAAAGACCCCAAAAATCCGTCGAACTTTCGACCAATTACTTTAACAAGCTGTATCTGCAAACTGTTTGAAAAAATGGTAAATCACCGCTTGGTCTATTTTCTGGGAAAAAGCAATGTTACCTTATGTTATCAAAGTGATTTCCGTAAAGGAAGAACAACAGTGGATAATTTACTTCTTTTGGAAACCTCCATCCGTAAAGCCTTTGTCAAAAGGAACCACTTAGTTTCAGTATTTTTTGACATCCAGGCATGATAAGGCATGGAGGTATGGCATATTGTGTGACCTGTATGCCAGTGGCATCCGTGGCAATCTGGCAGTTTTTATACAGAACCTTTTGAAATCTGGGGCATTTCAAGTAAGAATTGGCCATGTACTTTCAGATACTTTCTATCAAGAAGAGGGAGTGCCTGAAATCTCTGTGCTTAGTGTCACCCTTTTTATCTTAAGAATTAATTCAAGTCGCTGTTAACAAAATTGAGAAATGGTCAAATAAGCAGGGCTTTGTATTTTCGAAACACAATACTGTTTGCATGCACTTTTGTAGAAAGGCAGAAAGAGACATCTTCATCCTGAGCCTGAGCTTCATCTTGAAGGATCATTAATTCCAGTTGTACGGGAAGTGAAGTTTCTGGGAGTGATGTTTGACTCAAAATTAACCTTCATGCCACATGTACCTGAGGAAGAAGTGTTTCAAAGTGCTTAATCTTTAAAAGTCCTGGGAAACACCTCCTGTGGGGGGGGGCAGAGCGTAACTCCCTACTTTACATCTACAGAGCGTTGGTCCGCTCAAGGATAGAGTATGGCTCAGTGGTTTACGGATCACAGGTTCAAGGTCACGCTGAGCAACTGAATTAAAAAGAAAATATTTTCTACTTTATATTTATGTGTTTGATCATCCGGAAAGAGTACAGTCTTTGATGCTTTGGCTCAGGTGATAATGATCTCCCCCTTTACTCTACTTCTGCTACTTCGCTCGGAGGGAATTTTATTTCATGTAACTTATGTCATGAGCTCAATGACATCATTTCAGTTTAGCTTATGAAGGCCGAAATTCTCGTCCATATAAGCTTGATTATATGATTATCGGATTATCAGAAAGAAAGAAACAAACAAAAACAAAAACAAAAAAACTCCTAAGAAATTTCATTCTTCTAGAACTCGAGCAATGAAAAATCTGCTCACACCGCCACCGCTATTGATCCTTTCCATTTCCATCTCCCCACATATTACAGTCCATGTTGCAATATGCCTTTCGGAATATCGGTCTCCTGTCATAGTCTTATACCACCACACAAAACTAACGAAATTTATTTTGACAACAGCTGCCCCAAATAAGTTTACATTCTCTCGAAATGCGATTATTTACCCGAGCCGAGCCAAATGCCGCTGCTAAGACAGAGTAGAAATTTCTATTTGGAGATTTCATTCCTCAAGTAGCTAATTTCTTACTGTTAATTTAATCAGGTAATTTTTCCTATAGAATTTACTTTCCTATATGATTTAATAATAAAAACTTTACTCTTTGCAAACTGCAAACAACGATACTGGCTTTGAGAATCCCTTTAATCGGATCTTTGCGATAATTTAGAGTCTTATTACCTAAAATTTCATGAAATTGAATTTCTTGGAAATTTCAATTTCTTTGTTGCCCAAAGGCATATAAAGTCGTAAATCGGTTTTTAGTTTAAAATTAGAAAAAACTAGCTAGTAATGTGAAAGTAGTATAAAAATACGGGTTCACCTGCACGCGGTGTGCGGTGTGGGCGTGGTCAATGACGTCACAGAGGGCGGGGCCAAAGGCAACGTCATCACACTAGGAGGCGTGGTTTCGAGTGGAGTTGAGGTGTTGGTAGATAGCTGATTGAGTTGTAGACCTCCTGCTTTTCATTTAAAGTTAGTTTTTTTTTTTAAATTGGCAACGGGAAATATTTTCTGCATCTTAATTTTGATGATATAGCGATGCTGCCCTCTATTAATGAAAAAGTGAATTATATGTTTTAGAAATATATTTTTTAAGTCTGGTGTTAAAATTATTCAATGTGCGACTCTGAAAACAATGTAAAAGAAACAAATATAAAGAAAAGACTTTCCTTTAATGAAACTACAAGATAATTTTTTTTTATTACTCAATTTTATTCTGATACTTTTATTCTTTCTAGTTTTCCATGAAACTTTAACTTATTTCTCAGGTTTTCTGTTCATAATAACATATTTATTTACTGTCATATTTTTTTAATACTTAACGTTTCTAATTTGTAATATTTTATTTAATTTCCACATACTATTTTTTTTTCATACCTTTCATACCATTTCAGCATACCCTGTTTTTAACTTATATATTATATTCACAAACGTTCCCGCACATGCTGTTTATTTGTTACACTACTTAATTTTAGATGCAATTTCACACTTTTTTTAACGTTATAATGTTCAATATATTCTGAATTTTAACTTCATTTACTTTTTTTAAACCATTCTAGTATTCTATACACACTTTAACTTAGTGGTTTGAAATTCTATTTAAAAAGAAACGTTTATTTTTCGTGATCTTAGTTCTTTTACTAAATTTTCTACAGAATTTCTAATTTCTTTTACATGTTTAACAATATCTTCCTTACATTACCGAATATTTTTTTAAAAAACTTAAGTCTATAACTGTTAATTGCGTTTTTTACGTTCATGATTTCCCTTCTGTGTTTATATTTCTTAATTCTAGTTTAACTTATTTATTATAATGTTTTTATTTCTGTCTCATCATTCGTAATTCCAACATTTTATCCCTTTTTATTCATTTTTAACGATATGGATTGTTTTCATTTACTCCATATTCAAATATTTCCTTACAATTTTTAAAATACTTGTTTATTTCTCCGATCATAATAGATCATCTTTTTTTTACAGGTTTTACACAACTTTACAGTTTAATACCATTTATATCTAAATGCATTTCTTTCTCATATAGTTTTACGATCTTCAAAGTTTCTAACATCATGTTTAGTTTTAAATCCCTATTACCTTTATTGTGTGTTGATAATTTTCATTTCTAATTTTACAACCACGTTCAGTGTTTCATCCACACATACCAAAATATTTCTTACATCTTCTGGTATTTAGTCTATGTCATATTTCAGTACTTCAAATGAATTTACACTGCTCACACTATTATTTTTTCATGTTTTAGAGACACTGACTATATTAATTTTACTATTTTTCATACACTAATTGCATCTATGTCAGCACTCATGATAAAGTAGCAATTGTTTTGCATCACATGCATAAAGAAATTCTTAAAACCAACTTTTTCAATATCGTATTCAAATTACTGTTTTCCAGATGGGAATTACCAGTATTCTTTGGTTTTACTCTGTTACATCTTTTTAAATTTTAACATCTTACTTTTAATTCTAACATACATCTTTCGAACAGTTTTTTCTTTTAATAATAGCCTTACCTTATTTGTTCAAATTAATTCTTTAATTCACCTTCTTTACTACCTTTCAATACCTTCATAATTCACTATG